ATAATTTGAAATCTTACCTCATGAGATTTATTAACTATAGTTATAAACTGTCATACCAACTAAATAAAGTTGATTTTCAAAAATCCCTGTACTGTCTTTATAAGATTTCTATAAACAGCCTCCTTTAAAAATGAGAAATATTTGCTTTATATATTTTAAGTAGGTATGGCTATTAATATAGATTTAGATAGGTTTATATTTTATTGGACCTTGTATATAAGTTATTAATGTAAGTAATGAGAACAATAATTCTTTCTTGTTTTCTGACCTTTTTTTTAAAGCATCTTGTTCTTGTTTTATTCAAGTATACTTTAAGTATACCATTTTGACCCTTAATTGTCTCCATTTCTCCCAGGGTTACTTGAATTGGTTTATTTTATTTTCTTTGGATCTTTTCCCAAATATCTGTTGCCTTTGGTTTTCCATTAATATTTTGAGATGAAGAATTAAGTTAATAAGTAATGGTATCTGGCTTGGTTTTCTCTAAAGTTAAGTAGACCTGGGGCAGGCCTCTCCCTTAAAAGGGAAGGAGCTATGGATGCATTCAGTGTAAGTAGGCAAAGTGTTTCAATGTAGTGATCACTCAATGTAGGTTGTGGGTAGGTTGGGAACCTCCACACATGTCAAAGTAAGGAGGGCTTTATTTTGTGTAGAGTGCTTTAATATAGGAATTCTATTAGGAATTATCTCTTCTCACCATCTTATCCCTATATGTCTGTTATGATATTCAGAGATAGTCCAGTCTAAATCCTGTTTGTCTCTCGGGCACTGACACTTTCACAATCCTGTTTGTCTCTCAGGCACTGACACTTTCATAAGGAATGTACCCAGACAGACGGCCCAGTTCCTTAGAGGACAATTCTTGTCTTTGGTATGATGGTAAAAACCACAACTGCCAGCCTGGGGAAAGGGAAAGGCCCCTACTTTTCAGATAGCTGACATGCTGTTTCTAAAATTATTAACCTGATGATCGCCACTTGCCCTTTTTCTGCTGTTTATATTTGATGAAGGGGTGGTTCTTCTTTCGGCCTCCATGAAAAAACTGTGGAGAGATGCCTATCTTATCTTAGTTTTTGATTTTCTCTCTTAATTTCTTTGCTAATTTACTCCCATCTGATTGATTTCTCTGCTAATTTGTTTCCATATATCTGCCTTGAATTTCTCAATTTCTGATCACCAATATGACCCTTTCTTATATTCCAACCTTTTTATGCCTTCATTCTTTTTTAAAAATATATTGATTTCAGAGAGGAAAGGAGAAAGATGAGAGAGAAACAACAATGATGAGAGAGAATCATTGATCGGCTGCCTCCTGCACTTCCCACACTTAGGATCGAGCCCACAACCCTGGCATGTGCCCTGACCAAGAATTGAACTGTGACCTGGTTCATAGATTGATGCTCAACCACTAAGCCATGCTGGCTGGGCACCTTCATTCTTTTGTAAATGTTCATTGTCATCTCATTGTTATGTTGGGGAAATAAAAGAAACATAAGTGTTCTCACTTCTGTGCCTTGAGCAGTGGACTGTTTTCAAAGTTCCATCTTCAGTACAATATCTGATCCAGATATATGTGTGTGTGTGTGTGTGTGTGTGTGTGTGTGTGTCTCATATGAGTTTGGAAGAGTGAATAATCCCCCTTGTTATGGTTTTTTTTAAAATGAGGTGTTTTGTGAGTGATTTTGGCCAGTGGAGGTTACTAACGTGCTGGAAAGGGTGTCTTTAATAACATACATGTCTTTAGTGTAAGCTTAGGCTGAAATCCAGGCAGGCGTTGCCATATTTTAACGTTATAATCTTGGGCAGGTTACATAGCCTTTTGTACGGTAATTTACACATCTATAGTATTGGAAGAAGCACTTAAAACCTTCTTCATAGAGTTATTTTGGGAATCAAATTATACTTAAGCCTGGCATATAGAAAGTCTTTAAAACGTATTTACTCTTGGTCTTATTAAATTGATTCTATTCAGAAAAATGTTAGTTATACATTTTAGATAGCTCTTTTCTTACAGAACAGATAAGTTTCTGTAATATTGTCTATGTAGTAGCTTATCCTATTTAATAAAAGAGAAACATGGTAATTAGCCGTACCTCAGCTATCCTTCCCATTGGCTAATCAGGGCGATATGCAAATTAACTGCCAGCCAAGATGGCGGCCAGCAGCCAGGCAGCTTGAAGTTAACATGAGGCTTGCTTGCTTCAGTGACGGAGGACTCCAGTGTTCCCTGCCTGCCGCTGCCGGCCTCTGACCTTGCAGTTTGAAACATTGTTACAAATATAGAAGCT